GAATTTAATGTTTTTGTCTCGGATGTTGTTGCCATTAATATATAGCCAGGAGACAGTAAATTAAAGCCAAACTGAAGTGTATTACATATTGTTGGATGACAAGTCTTGCCATCATCATGAAACAATATACTGGCACACTGGTTAAAACCTTCAGCACCATGGACAGAGCCTTAGCGGGGCGTCCTCTGAACTGAACCTTGAGTTGACTGGGAGTTTCTGAGTTTTGACTAAGAATTTTGTCACAGATTCAATTTTAAAGAATATACAATGTTTCTAATAGTGTTATTCAACCTAAAGACCTGCTTTTCAATTAACAGTGACGCTTAAATGGATTCCAGATCAAATTGATTATAGCTCTTAAGTATTAGTATTTATATTAAATGTATTATAGATACATTTGTAAGATGTGATACATTAAATATAAAAATTCTGAACATCGTTGACCCACTTACCTAAAATATAACAGTATATATGTTATATTTGTAAAAATAAATAAATATTGTCCTTGGATTTAATTTAGAAACCCATCATCAGCATCAAGGAGAACTTACTCAGCTGCAACAGTTAGGTTGATGATGTCACAAGCCTGCAATATATTAATATTAAAGTATATATTAAATATACTAAATATTAGTCATAACTTTTTATAAAGCATTCTAGATCATAAGCAAAGCTTGAGCTTCAAAATATCCCTTTGTTATGCAATTCCTCGACGATGCCTACTTCTTTAGGTCTACAGATTTATGTAAACACCTGCACCTTCTCAAATTGTACCTCTAAGACAGAAATTGTTGCTCTTTTATTCTGGTATCGTACCCGCTATACACGGGCAGCTTTCAATCTGTGACCTTGGCTACCTAAGACAGCCAAATCCAACAGGGGGATGCCACTGGGTGTACTATGCCTGGTTGAAAGCCTTCCAATGGGATGATGCCTCAGGCCCTTCTCTGCCTTTCAGCAACACAGCCCGGTGGCCATGCAAGTCATCTCTCATGCTGAGAGCGAGAAAAAAAATCCACATCTCTACCAAGGCCAGTGGATAATGTGGATGAGGTGGATGAGATGTAGCTCAGAGAAACATATTGATATCACGAGGAGATGCTGGATTGAATAAATATGTGGGAAGACCGATGGTAGATGCACGTCTGTGGAATAAAATATTGATGAATGGTGGAGATGGAAGAAGAGAAGGACTGATCGTGACGGGGAGCAGAATAGAGTTGGAAAAGGTCAAATGTGTCGATGTATACATTACATATACAGAGACAAAGGTAAAAACGGAATATAAGAAAAAGAAAACCTTACATATAAGAATCCAAGCCCACAGGACAGATACATAAAGTCCAACCATGCTTCATTTCTCTTACCGTTGGAGCAGCCCTTGAAGCGGGCACCTCGGACTGGTGCCCTTTGTAAGTCAGCCTTGACACGAGCCTTCAGACCCACATTCTCCTTCTGCATGGCATTAAGAGCATCACTAACCGAGTTCACTACCTTCACCATGTTGATCTGGCTGTCTGACAGCAGCTGCAACACACAAACAGGGAATGACAGAGAAAAACACTTAAATATATGTTGCGTTACACTCGTAATTACAATGCAAATGCACACAAGCCAGTCGTCTCTATTTACTTTGAACATTTTTAAACTGTCTACTCTGCACATTGCTTCAGACCATTTCCCAAAGCTTTCCGAGGGTTTTTTACTACCTCCTAGAGAGTCAGGCTTCTTCTACCTTTTTGAACATGTCATACACATTACTGTTTAGATATGCATAGTAAAACTGAATGTGAGTCTTAAAGTAAAATGTGGTTCTTGAAGTTTTCATGAAAGAAATCTGTTTTGGACCCTCTTAAGGGCTGAAATTTATTCGGTTATAAACAATCAATTGAGCATAACATTAGTTCTGGCAAGCTGCAGAGTTGAGCTCAGCCAGCAATCCCTGCAGATCAGCTGATGTCAGTGCCAGCCAACATTAGCTGATGTGGTAAATATAAAATGATTAATGCTATTTAAGCCTCATCAACCTGCATACGGGCAAGCCCCTTTGCAATCCCACCTTCATGCTCAGTGTCTTTAATCTATCTTTGCCTCCCGCTTTTCATGTCCATAAATGGAAGGGGAGGAGGTGTGTGCTCTCTCATACTTAATCTTTCTACAAATGCAAATAGAACAGCTGGGGAGTCCCAGAACAGAGCCATACCACCAAATATGAATTAATGCATGTGGAATAACAATGCTACTTAGACTGTTTCCTGACAGAAATGCATTTACACTCTGGCAGCATAACAAACCCCTCTTCAGGAAAGTGTGCACTGTCAGTGGTTTCTGCACTGGATTCAAATACCATGTGAAAACAATACACATACTACACACTATCTGGAAGGCAGGAGCTAACCAGGTGCAGAGTCCAAGTGCAGTAACATAATTTATCCTCAAATGAAATAATGCCATTCCCTTTAATCCCTTTATATTTGCCAGTACAACTATAGATACAGCTACATAAGGAAAATGTATGAATTTCATCACTACCAAAGTGGACTGAAGAGTCTAGCTTTGAAAGATGCATTTATAATTACCCACCTATGTGGCTTCATAAACCCAAATTAAAATGTTATATTCTCTGAACTTTTCCAAGGTAAAATCAAAGTTACATATGCAGACTTTGAAATTTCTCCTTAGTTTGTTCAAGGATGATCTAGATGTTATGGTTGAATATATATAGCAGTCCAATTTCTATAATTGGGATTCATATATTAAATGCAAGACTCGATCTATTTTACCACGTTCATGTTGGCTCTTTTCCGGTTTGGACTCAGAATATCTGGAGGTAATGCGTCCAAGCAATCAACTATGCTGTGAAACACAAAGAGCCCTGTGGGAAGGCTGCTGATGGATGTGTATGCTAGGACTTGCAAAGATCAGTGTAACCTCTCTGATCTGCCACGGCCACATCCTTACCTGCAGCCCTTAATGTGCTTTTCATTGCAGAAAGGTTGTTTTCACACATTGCCCTAGTTGGCCAACGTGTATGCACAGCCAGGACTTAAGCTTCATATGAGAACACTGCACACTATATTGCGCAGACCGGCGAAATAGTCTTGCTGTTATTTGTACACGGACACAATCGTCATCTCATTCCCTCTCTTTCATCTTACCTGTACCCAAATGCATGCATGCACACCCACAAACACACACCGAGACCTGCAGTGTTCAAAGACATGTATAGGGGATTCAGAATCTTCTATCAAACGTATGTCTGTGCAGCTATATTTGGGTCCTAAAACTGCATTAGCTAGAAACCCCAGTGGCCATTCCCTGCCCTCAATAACCATGCGACACACCTCTGAGGCACAGCAACCTAAAATGAAATAATATCACGGTGACACTGGGGGTTTAACTCACGCACAAACACAACACAAAGTTGCAAACAAAAAGACACATTTACATGCATGCCTCCATGTTAGTGCAAAGAGGACGCATGCCTTTTGTGCAACGAACCTTTTTAGACTTTCCGCTGAAGCCACTAAGTCATACTTACTTTGATATAAGGAAAGCAGATTTTAAACATCTGATATCTCAGTTTGTCAAGTGCTTTGCAATGCCA